ACTTCCAATCTTACGCGGGAGAAAACCCGAATAACCAAAGATCCAAAAAATACGGTAGATGGTGCCTTGGGATGGGGCGAGGGCCTGCCAACCTGGTGATGGGGAAGCTGGTCAGTGGAGGGGGGGGGCTTTCTAACAGGCTCTGCAGCTGAGAAACGCCCTGTACCTTTCTTCATCAGCACACGAATGAGAATAGCAACGGCAAGCAGAAGTATGACAACAGCTACAATCACTGCCACGATCCATAGATTGCTTGGAAGTTGTTTGTCTGCAAAAAAAAGAGCAGAGGTTGCGTCAACCCTGGTCAAACATGAGGAACCCTGCAGAAGTCTGTTCCCTAGGCCAGTAGTCCTTGATTAGTGACTGTTTACAGTTCTGACAGTGGTGGAAAAAATAACCAGCCGTCTCATTGGTGACCTCCGCAGGTCTGTAAAGTGAAGAAAAACTGGAGTCCTGTCATCAGAGGTTTTGTTTAGAAACTGCTTTGTTTAACGACCAGGTTGCCGGTTCCACCTGTGGTTGCTAAATGAGGACTCTCTGCATGGGATAATTTTCCTCTATCCACCATTCCCAGCAAATGGCGGAGCTGAGCTGGCAGCAGCAGAAAGGTGTCACCCACAAAAAATCACCAGAATAAGGCAGCCTCAAATCTCCCTTCCTTTCCTGTCAGGATTATGCTGACCTCTCGTAGAACATAGAACAATACGGCTGGACTCAGAGGTGGGATTCAGCCGGTTCTGACCAGTTCTGCAGAACCGGTAGCGGAAATTGTGAGTCATTCAGAGAACCGGCCAATCCCACCTCTGACTGGCCCTGCCGACCCCATCTATTCTCTACCTCCTGAGTCCCAGCTGGGTCTCCTTTGGTTGCCCCGCACAGGAGAACGGAGCTGGAAAGCAGGTTAGCGGGGTTGGGGAGGGAATGGGGATTTGGCAGCAACCTTCCCCTGCCACGCCCACCAAGCCCCGCCATGCCACGCCCACCAAACCATCCCCACAGAACCAGTAGTAAAAAAAATGTGAATACCACCACTGGTTGGAAGGAACCGTGGAGGTTTTCTAGTACCCAGGCAGGAGACCTTGTGCTTCTACATCTGGAGCATGAGCTGAAGAAACGTAACTATGGAACTTCGACTAACTCCGCAATGCAGTTGGAGCAGGAATATTATCCCAATCGCCGAAAATCCCCTTTTTAAGCATCTTTTCCAGTTACAAGTGCCCAGAAAGTCTATTGCTTCCTATTGGACAGATGTTGAGAAAACCCCGAGCCATTGGGAGATTCAGGTCAACAGTTGAATAACTTTCAAGGTTTTTATTTATAGCTTCAAGATAATATAATTTCCCTGCTCCTTGTGCTCTGCCATGGCACAAGAGCTCGGCAGACATTGCAGTTATTTATTTATTTATTTGAGGTGTTAATAATCTGCCTTTATTATTCTTATAAATAACTCAAGATGGTGAATGTATACTTAATATTCCATACTTCTCCTCTTACTTTCTCCTAATGATTGGCCCAAAGTCCCCCTACTAGCCTTCATGCCAAGTTGGGACTCGAACTCACCATCTTTTGGTGATCGGCCCACTTAGCCAGCTGTCATGCTTAAGGCGGGACTAGAACTCTCAGTCTTCCAGTGATTGGCCCAAAGTCACCTGGCTAGTTTTCATGAGCTTAGACCTTAGGACCCTAGAACTTAGGATCTCCTAGTTTCTTAACCTGGTGCCTTCAACCAATCTCCTGCTTAGGCGTGGGGGTTGGACTAGATGACCTACAAGGTCCCTTACAACTCTGATTATCTGTATCTACCACTAGACCAGACTGCCTAAATGGAACCAACTGGAAGACATGAATTGCAGGAGAGGGATGTGTAACTTGCACAAAAGGAGTTTTGAGAGCTGAATGCCTGCCCTAAGCCAAGGACTAGTTTTCATGATGTAAATCATTAACTATAATAGTTTCATATGATTTAAGCCATTTTCTTGGCTACCTAGAGTGGCCTCAATAATAGCTAACTATAATTTACAAAGTTCATCACTAGATATATCTCATGAATAAGCATATCTCAACAGGAAGTCAAAATAAAAATTAAATTATTTCTCAACGTAAAATATCTCAACACAATCATTTCTCAACATTGCAACAAACCTCATCCTGCCTTTAAAAACTGTCAAATCATCTCTGTATACCATATATAGGAATACATTTACAGATAGGCACCAGCAACAGTTAAAATTCACATTGTGCAATTCATTGCGAGTTTCCCCCCCCAAAAATAATACATAATTAAGAGCCCAAAGCAGCAGCAGGCCTGCAATTTTAACCACTTTTTTTTTTACATTTGTTAACTGGCCCCATGAAAGCAATAATTGTGATTATAGATAAATTATAGATAAAAGCAAATGATTGTATATAAAGATGTATCCATGTAGATATTTGTACGAGATTGATGTGTGGAATATTTTGTATAATAATGATGACACAATACTGTTAAAGTCAAGATTAATGTGTGTTAAAGTTGAAAAAGAACAATAAAAATCATCAAAAAAAGAAAAGAAAAGAAAAAGAAAGCAATAATTATGTTTGGGGATTGTGCACTTTGGTTGAGGAATTCTGGCAGTTGAAGTCCACAAGTCTTAAAGTTGACAACGTTAAGAAACCCTGATTTAGGCAGTTGCCTCAGTACCCTGGACAGGTGTTTATGGCTGATTTTACTACTGGTTTGGTCGAACCGTTCCGAACCGGTAGCATACCACCACTGGTTTGGAGTGATTTACACAATTTACAACATTTTTTGCTGAAAATTGCCCTTTACTTCTGGTTTTCGGCAAAAATGCCTATAACGAACAACGACGTCTGCAAAAAAAGTTGTAAAATTGGGTCTGCCGTTGTGATGATCTGCTTTATAACTGTCATGACCCACAACCATAATTCAGCTTTTGGGGCTGTGTGCGCTATGACTCCTGGGTCTTGTTATCCAAACTTCCAGGATTCATGAATTGTGGGGACACAGCCTAAAATTCATTCTTGCATTAATCAGGATAAGTCAAGTTATAAATACAGTATTTCTTTTTTTATTAGTTTGTTAAATTTATGTCTTGCTTTTCCTTTCAGGCATTCTCTGCCCTGGGGGGGTTGGAGGAATTTTCATGGGTACACAGGTGGCTACATGTCCTATGAGAGCCAGAATCTAGCAGAGGGAAAAGATAAAGCAGCGAAAATTAAAGAAATACAGGTAGCCCTTGAGTTAGGACTGTAATGGAGCCTGACAATTACATCCGTAACCCGAGGATTTGTAGCAGTGAATTGCGTAGCTTGACCGCAATCACTTCCTGCTTTTGCCCATGCGTTCCCTAATCAAATGGGTAGGTCATTAACTGCCCATGAGGTATCTCAGAGTTAGGGATGACCAAAGAGGGAGAGAGATCTGCAAATGCACCAAAACAGGCGAAGGAACTGCCGGCTTGCAAGGTAAGTGAGTCTCCACAGGCCTAATGGCTGTGGAGACCCAAGCGAGGCAAATATTGTAGCACCTCTGCTGTCATTTGTACCGTGTTTTCCCCCAAAATAAGCCCCAGTCTTATTTTCTTTGGGGCTTGAAAATAAGCACTAGGGTTTATTTTGAGGGGGATGTCTTTTTTTTTCCCACTTAACAGGAGGCCGCGAGCATGGGGGCCGATGGGAGTGGGAGTGATGCTGCCACCAGCCCACCCTGCATCCCACCGTCTACTTGCTTGCAGTGAAATGGGCCAAGCTCTTGGGGCGCCCCAGCCTCTGCCCACCCTGCCTGCTGGCCTTCTGCTCCTGGGACACTGGAGTTTGGGTCATGCTCAGGCTGTTGCTACGATGAGGCAGGAGGCTGTGCAGCGTATCAGGATGGCATCTCCCCCCTCCCAGGCCTCTTCCTGGCTGCTGGGCCTTGCAGGGGTTTTCCACCCTCCTGGACCTGTTGCTCGTGGAGCAACTTGGCCCAGATCTATGACCTCTGGAGAGCCTAGCCTGTTGTCACCTTCGGGCTGTGCCCCTACCCTGCCCTGTGCAGTGGGTCGGAGGATGGAGGGGGAGAACACCGCTTCCTCTTTTGTGCCTCCAAAACCCCAACTTCCTTGGCCACCAAGCACCCAAACTGCACGCCTCTCGCTGGGGCAAGACATACAATGTTACCTGCAGAGGCAACGCTCTGACGCAGCTCCAGAGCAAACCTCCACCTTCCCTGCGCAGGACTGCAAGGCTGGAGGCCTCCACAACCTCTGCAGACCAAACCCCCTCCTGGCAATGGGTGGGGGGCACAAGGGGAGGGGGAGCAGGCAATCCCGATGTGATGCATGGCTTTGTCAGAGTATATTCATGAACTGGAATAGAGTTTAGTAACAAGGTCAGCCCATGAGAGCTGAATTGAGAGCTGAAACTTAAAGAGAGAATCTGGGCCTGGTTGATCTCTGTTCTGGCTCAGCTCTAAAAGTGAAAAAGAAACTAACTTGCTGGCTTGTCCGCTGAAGTTGAGTTTCTGTTCTGCTCTGAACGTGTAACACGTCTGCTTCTGTTTGAGTTTGCTTCCTGTTGGAGAAATCTACAACTGGTATTGTGAAATTTACTTCATATGTTTATAAAGAAGTTAAACGAAGCCTCAGCCATCTGTCTTTACTTTTTCTGGTGCTGAATTTATGCTGCAATACTCTGAACAGCCTTCTGCCTCATCGTACCGTGGCAGCACTCTGAGGAAGACCTGAACTCCAGGCCTTGGAGAGTGCCAACTGTGATCTCCATCTGCTCTGTAGCCATAAGGTGGGCTGTGGAAGAGAAAGGGCCCCTTGGCTGCGAGGTTACTTGGTGCTGTGGGCAGAGCCAGGCCTGGTGAAAGTGCACCTCCAGGCACATGGAGAGACAGAATGAGAGGCAGCTCCTGGCCCTTGCTTGACTCAGCCAATTTGTGGGTCTGCGGTTAAGGGACCGAGCCTCCATGAGGTGACCGGGGAAGGGAAGGAGCTGCCATGCTAAGCACCGCCTCAGGGTTCCCTGCCCATATTTGTGAGGGGACACATGGTTGGGCTGCCTCTTTTGCTGGCTATCCCCACCCCCTTAACTAGGGCTTATTTTGGGGGGCAGGGCTTATATTAGGCACACACTTAAAAATCATGCTAGGCCTTATTTTGGGGGAATCAGGGTAAGTGTGAACGATGGCCGTGGTGCTGCAACATTCATAATTTCAAGACTGGCTATAAGTACTTGGGGTGTGTGTCTTGATTGCAACTGTGAACAGTTGCTAATTGAACTGTTGTAACTTGGGAGTTACCTGTAAACTCAAACCAGACATAGTTAGCTTAAATAGTGTATCTTTATGACAATATCCTTGTTACTGTTCTTTGGGGTTCTTTTTATTTATTTACTTATTTTATTTGTTTGTCAAGCATGTATGAGAAAGCAAGTATAAGTATGAACATAACATATAAACATACAAGTACAAACAGGTATAAGTACATACATCATAAATGAGTATGAATAAATGGATAAATGGAAACAGTGGGACAGGGACGATAGGCACACTGGTGCGCTTATGCATGCCCCCTTACAGACCTCTTAAGCATGGAGTGAGGTCCACGGTAGACAGTTTAAGGTTAAAAGTTTTGGGGTTTTGAGGATGTAACAACAGAGTCAGGGAGTGATTTCCAGGCATTGACCACTCTGTTGCTGAAGTCGTGTTTTCTGCAATCAAGTTTGGAGCGATTTACTTTGAGCTTATATCTATTGTTTGCCTGTGTGTTATTGTGGTTGAAGGTGAAGTAGTCATTGACAGGTAGGATGTTTTAGCAGACAATTTTGTGTACTAAGCTTAGGTGAGACCATAGGAGGCATAGTTCTAACTTGTCTGGGTCCAAAATTTCAAGCCTGGTGGCATAACGTACTCTATTATGAGCGGAGGAGTGGAGGACTCTTCTCATGAAATACCTCTGGACTCACTGAATTGTATTAACGTTGTTAGGAACATAAGTCACCTAACAGGTATTTGGGTTAGAAATATATAAACCAGGATAGACATTTTAATACTGTCTCTTTAAAAGCATGCTAAAAACTGCAATTGGGTGTGGTTACTCAAACGGCCATAAGATGGAGCCAGAAACCTGGGTTGTTTTAGTCTTAGTCTGAGTCTCAGAAGAGAGTGTGAGTGTATCTCTGTTTCCTTCTGTTGGAAAGTGTTGCTGTTCCTCCATTTTTCCTAATTGACTGCTATATTCATGAATTTAATGTAAGTCTGATACTGAACTGTTTTTGACACTGGAATTTGGTATTTGGATTATCCCTGGATTGAAAAACTGACTGATTTATCTGCGAATGACTTTTGGACTGCTTATTTTGGACTTTGCTTAAACCTTTCTGGAAGTAAAAACCTACATTTACTGTACAGTGTATCTGTGTACTGTGTCTGTATTATTCAAACACTTCTCTCAAATACGTCTCCCTGTATGCGCTCATTCTCCTAACGGGGAATTACCTCAACAAATGTCCATTATACAGTGTGGATTCCAGGCAGATGAGCTGTATTCGAGTATTGGTCTGGCAAAGGTTTTGTATGCCCTGGTTTGCAATTTGATGTTACCAGACAAGAAGCTTTGCAAAATTAGGTTAACAACTTTTCATGCCTTTTTGGCATTGCTGTTACAGTGAGCTCTGGGGATTAGACCTAGGTTCTTTCACAGAGTGAGGGTCGTCTACGAGGTCATATCCGCCCAGGTTGTATTTAGTGTTCTGAATTTTGTGGCCAGTGTGTAAGACAGAGCATTTGTTGGTTGAGATTTGAAGTTGCCAATTGTTCGACCATTCTGACATATAGTCAAGGTCGCTTTGTAGGACAGCAGCATTGTCAGTGGTGTTAAATAGTTTTACGTCATCAGCGAAGAGGACGCAGTTGCTTATAATATGATCACAAAGGTGATTTCTGTAAATTAGAAACAGAGTGGGTCCTAGAATGCTTCCTGGGGGACACCACTGTTAACTGGTACAGCGTTTGATAGGGCACTCCATATTTTGACTATTTGTTGCCTGTTTGATAGGAATGCAGCTATCCATTTGTGCAGTAATCCAGAAATGCTGTAAGAGCATAGTTTTAACAGTAGTTTGTCGTGTGCCCCCGAATCAAAGGCTTTGCAGAAGTCTATGTAAATTGTGTCTATTGCTTTACCCTGATCAAGTTGTGTAGTCCAAATGTTTCTGCAGTGTAGGAGTTGTAGAATACAGGACAATTTTTTCCCTGAAACTAAACTGTTTGTTAGAGAGTAGATTGTTTGTCTCTAAGTGGAGAGTAATGGATTGGAGGGTTTGTCTGTAAGTGGAGAGTAATGGATTTTACAGACTCACTGTTTTACGTACAGCATTCACAAACACATCAGCGTTATTAATCTACAACATACGAAAATACATCACTTAGCTTTATTAACGTACAACATACATAACATACACGTTTTGTTAATCTACAAGATATATAACACACTTTATTAAGTACAACACATATACACACACCTATATCAAAATCAACAGAAATGGACACAGAAAGCTTACAGATTGGGTGAACAGTTATAATTCTGATAAACTATTCAATGGTACCCAAGGGTGTGTTAAGTGATTATAATTTCCCCTAATTTAGCCAATTGTATTGTTCATATTGTCCTATTGTTCCTTTCCTCTTTATGGCTCTTCCCATTTACAACTTTTCCTCTATTTATTCCTGTTTTTCAACTATTAGCTTTAACTTTTTGGATAGTTTTTTATTCTCTTTGTTTAATCGTTGATTGATGTTTTGTGCTAGCACTGATGATATTACCCAGTTTGAGTAATGAAACATCTGCAAGGAAACAATCCAGCTCAGAGAGCATTAAAGACCCCACAGTTCAACTCTGAGCTACAAAGATTCTCCTCTATTTTTTATCAATTTTCACTTCCCAGAAGTGTACTGCAGGTAGCCCTGGACTTATGACCACAAGTCAGCCCAAAATTTCTGTTGGTAAGCAAGACAGTTTCACCCCCTTTTATAACCTTTCTCGCCACAGTTATTAAGTGAATCACTGCACTTGTGTCAACTCATAAAATATTTCTCTGGTCTTTTTAGAGTTGCCAACAGAAAGGGAGAGGGGAGCAGTGCAGCCGCTTGCAAACAGAAACTGCATTCCATAAATGTTTTCAAAGATAGTAATTAGGTGACTGAAGTTTCTGCCTTGCAAAATTCTAACTGGAGAGCCCGATTGATGACTCTGGGCTATGGCTGTGTCCCATTGGAGAGGGTAACTGCCCTGACACTTTGCTTGTCAGAAGGTCGCAAAAGGGGATCATTTGACCCCGAGACTGTCATAAATAGGAGTCAGTTGCCAAGCCCCTGAATTTTGATCACATCCTCATGGGGATGCTGCAAAGTGCATAAAATGGTCACGTCACTTTTTTTCAGTGCCGTTGTAACTTTGAATGGTTAATAAGGAACTGTTGTAAGTTGAGGACTACCTGTATAGGAGACTCATTAGTTCCCGCTCCTCCCCCCCCCCCCCCGCTCCTTCAAGCATGGGTCTCTTAAAGGGATGGTGAATCTTTTTGTTGTGGTGTGTCAAAAGCGCATGCGCATGCTGGCACCCACAATGCAATGCACCCTTCCCCCCTGCACATGTGCGTGCAAAACCCCCACCCCGCCCCCTTACCTGCACTGCGCATGCCTGCACCTCCCAGCTGATTTTTGGCCTCTTTGAGGCCCTTTTGCCCTCCCAGAGGCTTGATGGAAGCCTCTGCGGCCTCAGGAGGCCGAAAAACGGGCCTTCCGGAAATACCGGAAGTGCCCGTTTTCAGCCTCCGGAGGGCCTCTGGAGCTCGGAGGAGGCCGAAAACGGGCCTGTTTCAGCACTTCTGGTATTTCCGGAAGGCCCATTTTTTTGGCCTCAAGCAAAGGCTTCCCTTGAGCCTCCGGGAGGGTGAAAAGGCCTCAAATGGGCCGAAAATCAGCTGGGAAGAGCACGCATGCACAGTGCAGGTAAGTTTGGCTGGGGCTCGTGTGCCTGCACAAATGGCTCTACTTGTGTGCCATAGGGTTGCCATCACGGGTCTATTAGGTGCTTTTGGGGGACGGGGAGGGAACCCTTTGGAAAACTGCCAAGAGGGAGGGGCAAGGAAGGGTGGAAGCTATAAAGAGGGGGTTGGAGCTCACCGTTTATTTGGGGGGCCTCCGTCTCAGGTTTCTCCTCTGGGGTTCACCATGTTGGGCAGAATGCAAGTGCAAGAGAGCAGATGGAAAGGAAACAGAGATCAGACAGTGAGAAATTGCGCATCTCTGGCTTGGTGAAGCCATCCGATTAACAACTACCAGACCCCCAATAACCCTCCTTGGAGCATATCGTCAAACCTAGTTAATTCTGCAACCGTTTTCTCAGGTCAAAGCCTTTTTCCTCTATTCTTCACAGCCAACACAAAACCATTGCAAATGAAAGCAAGGAGGAATGAGAGCAAAAGTAGCGCAGGAAACGCATGCAACGAGATCATTATCATGTGTGTTCAAGTTAAGGCTTGAAAAATGAATTGAGCAACTGCATTCATCCAATGCCACTCAATGGCTTGAAGCATTAATCTCCCTCTTACTTTAAACGCAGGACACATGCATCATTAGCTATCTTAAGGTTAAAATCGTCTTCTCCACCAAACCGCAAAAACATATTTCCATCCAACAGCTTTGCCAATTTAGGAAGTAGATTTAACTAGGTAACATATCTTCCCAATAACTGGAATGTCTGTGCAGGGTCATCGTCACCTCCATCCTCTAGAGATCTGTCCCAGCAAAGAATTCCAATGAGGAATTTTGACTCCTTCCAGATTCCTAACTCCGCTGATTTAGTGTCCCTGTCGGACAGCAACCCTCCCTGTTGGGAGTGGGGGGGGGGGCCTCAGGTGGGGAATTAAGTCTAGAGTGACTCCCTACAAAAACACAAGCAAGCAAACTCTTGGAAACTCTTATCTGGCCTTTGCCAGGCAAAAGCTGCCAGTCAGGAGATTCCTGTATTATAGGCAGAGAACAATAAAGTTGCTAGCTTGAACTCGACATGAGTGGGTCTGGTTGACAGTCTGTAGATCCTACAATCAGGGCAAACCAAAGCAATTTGGCTGCATTTCCCCAAATTCATAGGTCAGCTTTGCTGAAAGGCTGTTCTGCATCCCATCAGCCCCAGAGCCAGTTTCTTTTGCTTAGAGGTGGTCTCTGTATGGGATTTGCTAAGATCAGACACCCCAAGGAAACTTGGCTGGTGGGGCCACAAGGGAAAGATGCACCCGGTGCGCCTCAGTTGCCAATCTCAAGGGGAGCTGAGAGGCTGAGAGGCTCCAGAGGCCAGAGAAATTCAGCCACCAGCTGCTTTCGACTTCTCAATGTATGTGGTCAAGGCAGGGGTGGGATTCACATTTGGTAACAACCAGTTCTGTGGGCATGGCTAGGTCATGTGACTGGGTGGGCGTGGGGTTTTTTGCAGCAACCCCCCCCCCCCATTTTTTGGCCCTCCTGGGGCTCAGGGAAGCCTCCTGGGTGAAGCAGTAAGTAAGGGAGGGGAATCCCAGGACAGCTGATCGTCAGGAGAGGAAAAAAAGAAATACCTTAAGGAGTGACTGGGCAGGGGAGAATGCAGTCAGCGATGTCAGGCATGCACGCAACGTTGCGATAACATTTGCAATAAGGCCTGACTGGGTGAGGAGGGGAGGGGCAGGTGGAGAGGGGCGGGGCCAGTCAGGGGCGCAATTTGCTGGTTCTCCGAACTGTGCAGAATCATAACAACCGGTTCTATAGAACCGGTCCAAACCGGTAGAATCCCACCCCTGGGTCAATGGAAAATAGAAATCTAAAGAGCCGAATAAGATTTCCAGTGCCATTTGAAGATCCCTTCCCCTCTATAAAAAGAGGAATTATAAATTGAAGGAATATGATTGGTGATGGGGGTTAATGTCTGTCATTCATATGCCTGCACTGGATTCTTATTTTTCTGGATTGTGGTTGCAGCCCAACCCCTTTCCAATCGGTCTCCTGCACAAATAACAAAGGGAAGTTCAGCCTTCTGTAGGATCTTTTTTCTCCCAGCTAAATGTCAGATTCGTCTTTGGTCCCGTGGACTCTTTCAAGGAGAGAAAAACTTACCAGCACAAACTTTCTCTAAAGAGACTGTTGTGGACGCCCTGCTAACCGGGTTTTCTGCCACACAGGTGACATTGAGATTGAGATCGTGGGAGGTGAGGGTCACAGAACTCCCAAGGGGGGGATTCTTGCTTTGGACATCTGAGGGCCAACTGAATTTCACCCCATCTTCCCAAGTCCCTGTAGAGCAATCCAGCTTCCAAGTTCCATTTCCAACTTCAGCGCAGGTCACTTTCATCTCAGAATCCAGCAGGCGCCCTGAGAAGAAGATGGAGACATCACATTGTGAGAGGACACAAAGTCACAGGGAGGCCAAGGAGGAAGGAGAACAGCAACAGCGGTGGCTCAGTCCATGGATTTGCTTAGATTAGAGCCGGGGAAATAACGTGTTACGCATTTCAGTCGTAAATAATAACAATCCCAGAATAATTCCCCCCGCTCACATATGACACTCGTTGCACAGGGAGAGGCCCACCAGGATAGAGGGGAGGCAGGCACCCTTCATCCTTTGCAAGCCCTCTTAATACCAAACCAGGGATGGAGGGCAAGATTACAGATTACAGATTAACAGAGTTGGAAGGGACCTTGTTAGGAATGTGGGTGTGGGGAGGGGGAGAAAGGGAGGGGCTGAGAAGCCAAGCAGTACCAGCCTGTCCAGGAGATACTCCCATCTGGCCCAAGGTTCTAGAGGTGGGGCTCTCACCTCACAATCAGGAGGCTATGAGTTCGATCCTAGGGAGAGGCTAATATTTGGAATAGACTCTCCTGCTCGAGCAGGGGGTTGGACTAGATGACCTCCAAGGTCCCTTCCAGCTCTGTTATTCTATGTGTCACCCAAAGGAAAGAGTAGATTTGATCACTTATTGTACCCTGTGACTATTATGAAGTGTTGTACCTTATGATTCTTGACTCTTGGTGGATGTATCTTTTCTTTTATGTACACTGGAAAGCATTTGCACCAAGACAAATTCCTTGTGTGTCCAATCACACTTGGCCAATAAAGAATTCAATTCAATTCTGTTCTATTCTATTCTATTCTATTCTATTCTATTCTATTCTATTCTATTCTATTCTATTCTATTCCATTCTGTTCTATTCCGTTCTATTCTTTAAACTGACTGTTTCCTAATATGATTTGATTGCTTATTATTCTGTCCTTTGATTCAATTGTTGAATATAAAGACAGATAGATAACTCTACAAATTCTTCCCTACAAAGTTTCTTTTATTGGATTATATTAGGTATCCTCAAGGTAACTTGCAGTTATGTCGAGATGCATCTAATGTCCAATTCTTTGCATAGTTGAAATCATAGTGTAAAATGATAGTAATCTTTCCCCTTATTTCATCCCATAGTAGTAGAGCCAAAGGAGAAGCGCTAGCATGAAGCTGGGCTCCAAGCAAGAGTAAAGAAACCTCCCCCAACCCACCAAGGATCAATTCAGTGACCAATTAGGATTACAGATATGGCCACATGACATGAACTACATTTCCCAGGATACCTTAACTACATTTACCATGATGCATTCCCTTAAGGGGACAGCTCCCAATTCCTAACTAACCGTACCATTTCCCATTAACTAAAACTGGCTGGACAGCACACTTATTGTACCCCGTGACTATCATGAAGTGTTTTACCTGATGATTCTTAACTCTTGACGAATGTATCTTTTCTTTTATGTACACTTGAGAGCTTAATTCTTGTAAAGAATCTGTATAACTTGCACATGATATACAACTGGGGGACTGGAGCCCGAGAGGCTGGAAACTTGTCACCTCTTGGAGAGATAGCAAGCGGAGAAAAATTCCAACTCCGAAAGAAACAATCTCTTCTCAACTACGTTCCCAGAAAAAATAAAGGGGGTGGGAGGAATTAACATGTTGCTTCTTTGTATTGACGAAATCCACACCGGACTAAGGGGTGGGGGGTTTTTCTAACTCCCTTTATCTAAGCTGCATGCCTGGAGGGATATCAGACCCTGCTTTGAACATCGCCTGGATCTTTTTCCTTTTCAATAAAGAATTCCTTTTGAAATACTCAAGTTTTCAAAAGTTCATTCTTATCGTCTGAAGGGGAGAGAGTGTAGGCCTTACAATACTCTTGGTCATGTGAATGACCTGGGAGTCTTTCTTTACTGACTAAGTGAAGTGGGATGGATGAAACCAGGCTCCATCCAGAACGTGTGTCTCTTCAGAAATGGGACACCAACCCCCCCCCAGCAATGCCCCCCCATCGCCATATCACATATCACAAAGGAAGGAGGCCTGGAATTGACTGCCACGGGTGGGATACTTACGAAATATTTGCAGATCAAAGGACTCATCCACCTTTTCTGCACCTGGTGGAATAATTCCTGCTGTGAATCTGCCAGCATCCTCTTTCTTGAGGTGGCGGAGATGTAATTCTCTGCAGTCCTCGGAGGTGTCCACTCGCTGTCGATAGGCTGGGTCGGGGACCAGGAGGTCACAGGGCTCCTTAAAGCTCCCCACAGCAATAATTTCAGACTTATTGCCGACAACTTTAGTCCAGGAAATTGTATCAAATGGTGGAGAGAACTTCACTTGGAACGTGACAGACTGTCCCAGAACGCCATTCACTTTTGCTTCAATGTCTTTGGTAAAGTCAGAGAGAAGAGAGAGGAAGCCTTCAAAATTGGGTCAAAAGAGACCTTCTAAGACAGTGGTCCCCAACCTTTTTTGTGCCAGGGACCAGTTTCACTCAGAAACACTTTTTCAAGGACCGGGGGGGGGGGGGGGAGAGGGAAGAATCCGAGTTTGGTGGTTTGCTTGCAGACGTTTCATTATCTGACTAGGTAACATCTGATGTTGTTACCTAGTCGGGTAATAAAACGTCTGCCAGCAAACCACCAAGTTCAGGGAACGTCCCGCAGGGACTATCTGTCGCTCAGGGTTGCAATGAGGAGCATTGCAACCCTGAGCGACAGATAGTCCCTGCAGGACGGCTGAGAAGCCTCGCCTCTCGGCCCTGCCTTCATCAGCCCCATCCCTCAGGTGTCTCCCTCCCTCCCTCAGCCCCATCCCTCAGGTGTCTGCCTCGTTCCTCTCTCAGTCGCTCTCTCACTCCTCCACCAGCCCAGGAAGAAACTGCTTCAAAGAAGCCGGCAGGGTGGCTTTTCCTGTCAGCGCAGCTTCCCCAAAGCGCCCGTTCACCCCCACCCCGCCGCCCACGGTTCAATCCTCCGTTCTGCCTGCCTGCCTTCGTTTCTGGTGGTTTTGGAACGCAGCTTCTCCGAAGCGCCCGTTCACCCCCGCCCCGCCCCGCTGCCTGCGGTTCAATCCAGTGCTCCGTTCTGCCTGCCTGCCTGCCTGCCTTGGTTTCTGGTAGTTTCGGAGCAGCTTCGGCTGAGAAAAAGAGGCGAATAGTTATTATTCTCAGCTGAAGCTGCTCTGAAACTACCAGAAACGAAGGCAGGCAGGCAGGCAGAACGGAGCACTG